TGTCCCCAGAGAGGTGGCGTCTGATACCCAACCTGACATATAGACACAGACATACAGGCACACACAGATACAAACATCCATTCCCACCCTCATGCTCTCATATGCACTTACTCCACACTTCACAGTGTGTTTTAAGAAAATAATCTGTAATACAAAAGTCATTCTTGTGCCTTATATTGTTTTGTCCCGTTACATTTGAACCCAGGGCTGTGTAACCCACAGTTTGGCTTTAGATTATCAGATTTTTCAGAAACATCTGGAATTCATACTACTTAAACTATATGCTGCCATTAAAGGAAAGGATATTCCAAAATTCAGGCGCATTTTTCTAGTGCAAAATATGTTTTATCTGAAAAGGGAATGAACATTAATTAATTTGACCGCTTAGTTCCACTTAGTTAGGGTCAGATTTAGTACAGACTCGGTTTTGTTTTGCAGTTCCTGCTGTTCTTGCAGTTCCAGGCAGACAATCAAATAAACTAAAGATGTAAAACCACGTGTGCACAGATAAGAGCCAGATGCATATGAATGATAAAGCAAAGGCATAAACTTCTAACATTACTATGCACGCCGCTTCACTTGTTCCACATGTTTTCATGTTACAGCCTTTTTCCAAAATGGATCAGATTCATTTTTCACCTCACAATTCTACACACCATACCTCATAATGACAAGTGGAAGAAAGCTTAAAATTCTCACAAATTTATTAAAAAATCAACAAAAAAAAACCGGTCTAAATTTCTTAAAAAACTAAAAATATATTATAAAAATGCTAAATGCTTGTTGAAGTACCTTTGAAAAAAATTAACATGAAATAAATGAAAGCCATCATATTCACAAGATGAAAAATATTGACAATTTTCAGTTAGAAATGGAGTAAAAGGAATCAAATGCTTGTTAATTACTAAGCTATTTAGCTCATCATATTTATCCATTTTAATTATACATTCTGATATTTACATATATACTGTCTATAAATGAATAGACACTGTATCTCCTACAGTGTGTAAACCAAGTATCCACTAAGTACCAAAGTTTAGTTTAAATGTTTAACAGCCTGCCTCACCCATATACAGCATCACCCTCTGCATAATCCTGGAGTCTTTCAGCCTCTGTAGTCACATATAATAGACATTGCAGTAAAGACCAACACAACTGTAAACTCATATCTTCAGCCTGGCCAAGGCACCATCACCATCACCATAACCACGTTAAATCTCAGGCCAGGTCTGATGTCACAGAAAGCAGGTATTAAGAGCCCTTTAAACAGTACTTGTGCTTATTATAACTGAAATATAATAATCTTCTGACATTTTGGGTTGAAATGTCTCAACAGCTACAAGCTGGAACTGTAATCATCCTCTGAGTTTTCCAATTATGTCGACATTTCAAATGCGCTTAGCAGCATTTTTTCTGAACAGAAAACCTTCCAGACAGAAATCAAGTCTCATTCTTGTTCCATGTCACTCTGTGATGTTGTCACATACATTTATTTTGGCTTTTATAGTAACTGTCACTGCTACGAGGAAACCGTGTTAAATCCCCGAGCCTCTAAAAAGGCTTAATAAGCCCATAGGCCTTTAAATGTATTAAAAATAAGTAAGTGGAATGTGAAAGTCAAGGTGTCAAATGTGTTTGCATTTTGCAGTACTGGACTGACTATTACCTCCAGTGGAATCCATTGGATTATCCAGGTGTGTCCAATGTGAGATTTCCTGACCATCTCATTTGGAAACCAGACATTCTGCTGTATAACAGGTAGGCACTGATCTGCTGGGTTGTAAACTGTAGTTGTACATGGTGTTAGATTTATGCCTGATTTAGACCTCTGCAGCAAATCTACATCATAACTTACAACATAAAGGGAAGCTACTTTTAACCCGTACGCTTCCATGAAATTCAGTCTCTACAGACTCCATCGACCTGAATAGTAGTTACATTTCTCTGGATGTGCACGTCAGGTTAGTGGAAGATTACCGTGTATGGTTAAAAGGGGTTTCTGGTTACAATATAGATTCCCCAAGAAGCCTAAGTAAGTATTAGTGTGCATGCATTTTCTTCTACATAACGCACAGGGACCTCAGAGGGATGTGATGCATTTTTAGATTTTGGTGCTCCAGAGGTTAAACAAGGTTGTTTGCAGTCACGCTGTCTGTGATACACTAAAGACCAAATATTGTAAACAATATCTTGTTGTTTAAAAATGGCGAATAAAGAAAACTGTTGTGCCTCATCCTCTACTATATTCGTTTTGAAGGATGTGATGTACAGGAGATCCAAAATCCAATGAATACTGTATAATCTTTAGCATATCTTTGGTATGAACAAAATGTTAATATAGGTACCTGTAAAATTTTGTAATTATTGGATGTTCTGTGAGTAAACTTGAAATTTAAACTTGTTACTAAATTAAACATAAATAGCTAGTAATATTTTTAACACCTCCTATTTTTATGGTATTAAGTGTCACGGTGTGGTGTTTGTGTAGAAAAGGATCCAAAATGCAGGCAAAGGTTATGATGCGAGTGAGCGTTTATTTAAGTGACCAAAGTGGCAAAACAGGGAATGAGGAACGAAAAGCTACCAAAACCTACACTGGGAAAACTAAAGACAACCCTGAAAACATGACGAGAGATGCAGAGTGATGAACAAAACACCATCAAATGCAGACGAGCAGGCAGACAAACACTATACAAAGTAATCAGGAAATGACTCACAGCAGGGACGCACAGCTGAACCTAATTGACATGACGAGACAGGGAGACATAAGTTGAACACAATGAAGTCACACATGGATCTACAAAGTAAAACAGCAAGTTCCCAGACTGTTTAACAGAATACAAAATCAGAGTGAACTAGAAAATAATAACAATAAACTCAAACGCTGGGTGACCGACCCAGGACCATGACATTAAGTACAAGTATATTTAATCATAGCCTCCAACTTTATATATGTTGTTGTCTCCCAAATTACAGTTCGAACATTGCTGTATTTGGCAGGCTGTCATCTGTTTTTTGACCTAAACGTTCACTATATGTGTGTATGCTGTTAAAAATGTAACCCTGGCGCCATCAGATTTCCAGCTGCAGAGTGAGATGGCTACAACTGATTGGGCGCAACCAGCACAAATATCCCATCAAACATTTAGACATTTTATTAAACAAGGACACATAAGAATGTAATATGAGCGTATACTACTGACTGTTTTATTTACTATGAAATAGCTCCCAAAAAGAGTGGGAGTGCCTGAATAGAATAACTGTATTCAAGTGGCAACATGTGAAAAGATACTGTGTTCAGGCTTCTGCTCATGAGCTCTGGAAAGCATCAGACCCCGTGCTGCCACAGGCATTATTATGACTGTCTTGCTGAGACAGACAAGCAGAGAATTTAAAGATACATGCAGCTCGGTCCTTGTCCTTTTCTGTTTTTTGTTTTTGTAATTTTAACTCTGTATACCAACACAGTTGATTTTAAATCGAATGATACGCGATTGAATTGAGGAAAACAGAGTGTCTCATTAACTGTTTAGGAGTTATAGCTTTTTAAATGAATGGCCATTTTCAGAAACTCAAAATTAATTGGGCAAACTGACATCATTTTAAATTCAGGATGGTTTTAAATACCTGGATGAAAATCCTCTACAGTCATTAAAGTCCAGAACACATAGACATCAGCACTTGATATTTCCTTCCCTTGACAGGCTCTGCCTGATTTTTACTGCAGCCACCGGCTGTTGTGGGTCTCTCTGATGTCAGTGTTGTCTTAAGTAACTGAAAGGCATGCTGTGCTGGGTTGAGATCAGGTGATGGGCTTTGCTATTAAACTATATCCCTTTTCTTTGCAATGAGAAACTCAGCTTAACCCCTTAGCAGTCCAATTAGTCCCCTAAACCATCCAATGTCCCGTGGGCGGTACGTCCGACTGCTAAGGGGTTAAATACATCTGTTATAAAAATGCAGTCCAATGCCATTTTTGAAGTTTTCGCTGTCACAGTCCTACTGAGGTCAAAAACAAAATAAAGGCTAACTAAAGTACACGCAAATATATTTTTTAGTTAGTTAGTTAGTATTTGTGTGTATTTTGGCTTTATCCACTGTAACATATATTCTTATGTGCAATACACATTTTACTGTGCAATATACATCTTAATAACGTGTGATATTTTTCCGTGCCACAGTCATTTAGTGTAAGTGCAATACAGAAACTACTGTTTTATACTTGAAATTATTTGACATATTCTTTCTTTCTTATCTTCATTTTTTCCCCTCTGGCTCTAAGCTCTGCACAAGATTTCCTGAGTACCCACACCCAGTGTATGTGTACAAATGGCAAATAAAAGATTTTAACTTTATCTTCTTATCTTATTGGTAGGTTGGTTACACGGCTGGGATATTACACTTCAAGGATAGGGGAGCTGTGCACTTTAAGTAAAAAGCTAGAAAAGCACTTTGCAATAAATCATTTAGACAAATTAATAAAATTGTATAGAAATGGTAGGAAGAGCATTTCATTATATGTCCCAAATGAAATAAAGCTATAGCGATCCCCATTAATCAATCTCTAGAACATCTGAACAAAATACATTAAAGGTACCTTACTCCCCTGGCAGCTAATAAGAGAGAGAGAGCATTGTACTTCATATGAATGTCATTTTCTTTATTCAACTTTAGCTCAACCGAGCCCCAGCCTTTGGGAATTTATTTAGATGGAGTGCATTGTGGGTAGCAGGGTAACAACTAAATACTCATCTCCTGGGAAGGTTTGCATGAGATGTGACTCCTTGTTTGTTGTGTATCTGCAGAAATAATGACTTAGAGAATTATTTATATATTCCTACCACAACTGCCCCTCCTCGCTTGGTAACTTCCACTGAAATAATACTGGTGGCAAATAACTCAACATTAAATGCTGGAATTGTTCCATGTTGTCTACAGTGCGGACGAAAGGTTCGATGCTACGTTCCGTACCAACATTTTGGTCAACTCCTCGGGCACCTGTTCCTACCTACCTCCAGGTAAAAGCCATATCTTAGTCACTGACACATATTGACTGGGGGAAAATACATTTTTACCTTCGCAGCAACACTTCCATCCATCCATCTTCATCCGCTTTATCCGAGGCCGGGTTGCGGGGGCAGCAGCCTAAGCAAAGAGGCCCAGACCTCCCTCTCCCCAGCCACCTCCTCCAGCTTATCCGGGGGAACACCAAGGCGTTCCCAGGCCAGCCGAGATATAATCTCTCCAGCGTGTCCTGGGTCTGCCCCGGGGCCTCCTCCCGGTGGGACATGCCTGGAACACCTCACCCAGGAGGCATCCTTGTCAGATGCCCGAACCACCTCAGCTGGCTCCTTTCGATGTGAAGCAGCAACACTTACTGTATGAAATATGAAAACAAAAACAATAACAAATGATATGTGGAAACAACCCACAGAAGTTGCCTGTCCTGTCAGGAGCAGACATTAGCTGGGTACATTTAAAATAAATACATGGCTCCTGAATCTTCTGACTCATTCACCTGTATGTTAAAGCATTAATTGTTACACCTTACTCTAGATCCAGTCCAAGTGTTTTACCTCTGTGCCGGCTCATGTGTGGGTAATGCTTTCTATACAGCAGTAGAGTAAGCACAAAGTGGTCCATAGGCTCTACATATCATCCAAAATAACAAAAAAAATTTCCCTGTGCGAGTCTTCAGTGAAGTGTGTATTAGAATGATGCATAATGTTACATAAGCCTCCTGTGGGTGCAGTTTAAACATAAATGCAACACACATAATGTGTTGTATATAAGCACAGGTAGTAAGAATGATGTGTTATAAAACCTTTTGTCAAACACAGTTACAGAACAGAACAGGCCCATGTTTAGAGGCTGCAGATAACCACTCGATCACATTTCAAGACTTGAAGAGTCTTTTGTGACTAAAAACCTACATGTAATGGCAAAAATTAACTGACATTTTATATGATACTAAAAAAGAAAATACCCGTGCTATATTTGTTGTTTGTGTGACTAAATCTTAGATGCCTAAAATCCAAACCTTTGCAAATGTTTCATTATTCTTTAATTATCAAAATACATCTGCTTTACACTCGTCCTCAGAGGACAGCGACTCGCTGCCATTAATGTGCATCTACACCCCCATGAGTATTACTGAAGAGGTACTCGTCACTTCTCTCTGTAGCGACAAGTACCCGACTTTAATAATTCAGAGCAGTGAACAAATGTGGGTCTGGTGTGGCTTTGCAAATATATGAAATTTTAACCCTGGAGGGCTTTTGGAATACTTATACATAATAATTACGATAGTATATCATTATTTGACATAAAGAACAAGAAGTCTCATTATTTTTTCATATTGACTTTGTAATGAACTCAAATTATTTTTGCAGTATTCACAATAAAATCTGAGAGAGTGGATGACTGTCTTTGATTCATAAATTACTTTAAGTTGAATTATTTTCTACAAAAAGAGGTTTTAGTTGGTTATGAACTGAAACAAACCTGTTATTATTATTATTATTATTATTATTATTATTATTATTATTATACCGAGCAGATTCTTACCATTGTGCAGTAACATGACAAACTATGACTTGGGGATAGCAGATGCTAATGAGCTCTCATAAGCTGCAGCTTTGAATTGATTTCCAGAACTTAATGCCCCATAGATGTATTTTAATATGTTAGGTTTTTAGCTTCTTCTTCTTTTTTTTGTCTCTTCTATGACGCGTTACATGAGAAGATTAGTACTGCTAAGTATGAAATATGAGCCAGGAGCTCTCGACTTAGGCTAGCATAAAAATGTGGTTTTTCATTTAGCAAGTCTGGTCACATGTTTAACTGTGTTATTACTCTTTTCATCTCATTCTTGCAAAGAAAGTGTCATCTTCTAATGTTTTTCTTAGAGCAGAATGGCATTTTTTTTTTTCAAATCCACCTGGTTCTGAGACACCATTCACATTTTGATGCTATGTATTAGGCATGTTAAACTCAATTTACATTGCAGGTCACATATTAATCTTATGTGGCCCAGACATCCTGTCAATGTACAGAAATGTAACTACATATTTATTCAATGAGATATCTTAACATAAGAAAAAAAAATGCAATTTCACCAGTTTGTCTCAGTTTTTCTACACGATAAAGACACGCTGCTGTTGTAAAAGAAAGAAATGTCTCATTTAATTGCTCTGGTGTAGTATGAATGTCCATGAGGGAGGTCTTTATCCGTAGGAAAAGCTGTCGAACTTGTGAAAATGCAGTTTAAAAGTTGAAATTTACGTCCTCTTTCACATTTTCCAAAGCCATACTGTGGGACGGATTGGAGTTTTTGGTGGGCTGATTCTAGCCCACGGGCCTTATGTTTGTCATCCCTGCTATATATAAATCTCTCTCTAAAACCATCAGCGCATATGCACACACACGCCTACCAATCATAAAGTTAAAACCGACTGCTTAAATATTGCAAAGGTTATCGCTGACCCATCATAGGGTAAGTAAGAAAGTAAAGTTTCTTTATATAGCACTGTACAACCATTTAAACATAATTAATATCAAAAGAGAACCACAAATAAAGATAAAAACCTAAATAACAAAAGTATGACAAGGTGTCCCTCTGTACCCACGAGTGGAGGTCAGCCCCTATGCCCATCAGGGCTTCGAAGAAGTCACCAAAAAGTCGCAAGCTACAAGCTTTCGTTGCTTTTTTTAGACAAAGGAAAATATGATGTGAAGTGACACAGTGTAACTGGCTAAAAAAAAATGGCTAAAAATAATAGTGTAATTATTTACATCACCTGTGGTTTCAATGACATGGCTGATCACTCTACATATGCAGTATAAGCATGGATTCAAGGGAGCACACTGAAACAGAGTGCCTTCCTGTCATAGCTGGTGATTACTGCTCTCCCTGCCAAGCTCTTCCCCTTTTTCCTTACCCAGCAAAAGTGCTGGCTGGCTTTCCCTTAGCATCTTTAATCAATACAGCTTGATCACTAGATTTATTCTGGATTGATTACTTCTGTCTCAAGAAAATTGCCTCTCAACTTTTCTCCAAATGATTCCTCATTGGATGCCTTATTGGTACCAAATAATCATTTCATGCTTGAGTTGAACACAACTGCATTATGTGGATAAAACTGTATGCAGATTGGACAAATCATTTGAATTTCCAGACATTTGTCTTTGTGACTGAGGTTCATTACAGTAAATCGGACTCATTCTTCAGTGTTGTCTATATTCATTTCATATTCACGTTTGCCACCTTAATGCCGCTAGCAGAGGCATTGTTTACTGCCAGTGTCTTCTATATTTCTTAAATATGGATGAAAATAGTTTGGTGGCTGCCTGTCCTGAAGAATCACCCTCCACTTTCATCGCATTGTCATATTGGATTTTGTACTCTTTCTCGGCTGGATGGCACTTTGACTTCACATCTCCTCAGAGTAAAACTCTTTGCTGCCTCTCTTTTTCATTTTTCAGTTTCTCTCTGCTTCCTATATACCAGAGTAATCGAGTGTGCTCTCTAACTAAGCTTGGAATATTCATGTGTCCGTTTCTATCTACAGGTGAAGTACAATATGTATGAAAGCAAGTCTTTCGGCATCTTTCAGTGTTTCTCACCACAACAGGGATTTTCAAGAGCACCTGCCACATCGATGTGCGTTGGTTCCCGTTTGATGTCCAAAGATGTGACCTGAAGTTTGGTTCCTGGACATACGGGGGTTGGTCTCTGGACTTAAAGGTGATGGATGCAGATATCAGCAATTACATTGCCAACGGAGAGTGGGATCTTGTTGGTAAGTAAGGTTGTCAGTAAAATCATTGAAAATATTTTGCTCTAATCTTTCTCTCCAACTTTCTGTAACCCGTCGGACCACAGTAAATGTATGCCTTGTTTTGAATCAGAGGTTCCAGGACAAAGGAATGAGCATTTCTACGGCTGTTGTGAGGAACCGTACCCTGACGTCACCTTCACCGTGGTGATGCGCAGACGGACGCTCTACTATGGCCTCAATCTTCTCATCCCATGCGTTCTGATCTCTACTCTGGCCCTGCTTGTCTTCCTCCTGCCTGCTGACTCTGGAGAGAAAATCTCCCTGGGTAAAACCAGCTTCATTCAAAAAAAAAAAAAAAAAAAAGTTCCGTTTGACAGCAATTTTTTGTAACATCAGTTTGTAAGAACTGTAATCTCAAGACTTCAATTGCAAAGTTAAGAACCTGCATTATAGATGGAAACCCATCAAAAGTTAGCAAGCAATGGATGCCCATGATACACTAATGGGAGTCCACATATTAAGAAACTAGCAGGTACGTGGCAACCAGAGGTCATAAAAATTGAATTACATCCAGCTACTTCAGGCAACACCAGGCAAAAAAAATTCTGATAGTAGAAAAAGGTGTGTCCCATCTTTTCTCAACCCTCAGATGAGTGATTTAAGCAACTACCACAGTTACCTACATTACAGGGTTACCTAGGTAACCGGAGCTTGGAATGTCCACTAACAACAAACCACAAGCGACAAAGACTATGTGAAAGTCCCTTTACTGTGCTCACATTACTGAAACCACCATGCATTTTTGGTTATATTGTTGGATACCTGACACACAGTCAGATCCATTTCCTTGTGCTTTTCACCCCTCAGCCTGAAAAGCTGTTTGGGTATTTTGCCAATGCAATAACTCAGGAATGAGGGTATGTGAGATTTTCAAATTGATACAAATGGTACATCTACTAAAAATCTCAGATGAGTTTGAATCTCATTGAATCTTATACCTTCACCTCAAGATGGAAGGTCAAGTTGTTGTTTTTTTAAATCTTTTGAACACAGGAACTCAGAAAGATGTCAACTAGGATTTTCAAATTTATACCAAAGGTGCATTTGCTAGGAGGCCGAAGGATAGCACTGGTGGCAGAATTTTAGAGCAGCCACAGAAAAACAACATATTAACTAAGTGGACAGTTTACAGCGAAGACATTTCTTGACTTCTTACCACTGTTTTCTCAGCTGCTATATGTGCTAAAGACAATCGTGAGGTTAGTATTAAATAATAAAGTTGGGGAAACAATGTGATGCCATTATTTTAAAATTACTCCAAAACTCTTTGTCTGCAATATGTTCTTTAAGCAGCAAGTTAATGCATATCACCTCAGTATCACAACCATACTGATAAGTCTGTTAACCAATATTGAAAGCTTTAATCGCACTCTGTGAACACATAGCTAGCGCCAAATGTGGTTCTACTTTTTTTAGACACAATCTACCTGAAGATGTGGCTCTGAATTAAAAATGCAGATAGTTTAGAAACCAGGAACTTCCAAGTTGCACATTTCTGAATGTCACTAATTGCAGTAGTGCTTTTGCAATTAGTGAAAAGATAAAATATTTTCTCCGCCACGCTGAGAAAATTAAAACTTTAAGTTTCTGAGCTACCAAGCAAAGTTACTATGAGTTGAAGACATAACCTTAATTGTAATAGAGTCGAATACAATAATAACCCAGAGCATCAATTCACATTGAGAACAATAAACCCTGTATATGTTTAAACTCACTGTATCAGCATTGTCATTATGAGCTTGCCAATGTTGTTATTTCACTCAAATTACAACTCTAGCAAAGCTACTGATATAGACTTCTTTTTAATATGAATTGATTTGGGATATCACTCTCAGTTGGAATGCATTTTGTTAGTGCAGAAATCCTTGTGCCAATCAAGCCATACGCTACATTATTTTTAAGCTGTCGTATCACCGAACACTAAACTAAAATTCCATTAGCTTCATCTTTTTTTTCAAGATGAAATCGAGATCCATTCTCTTCTGATGAGCTCATCTGGGCAGCTGATTTTGCTGTGGTGCAATATTCCAGATTTATATCCTGCGTGACTCTAAAGCAGCCGTCTGTAATATGCGTTTGTTGCCAGAACCATAAGACGTTATCAATTTAAATTGGGGTTTCAGAGGCATGTTTGCACCTCTGCTACTTAGAGTGTACCTTTCAGACATTGTTTCACCTTTGATACTTCTATTGCCGTGGCATCTTTTTCAGTTAGACTTTAGAGTTTAGGTGTTATGTTTAGGTCCTGAGTGACCCCAGTATTGTTTCTGCACATCCACCAACCTATTTCTGAACACTGACTTTTCTCGATGATGTGTTCCATCCTCAGGTTACAACGGTAATTCTGTTAAAACATTTTCAATTTTGTTCTTTTGCAAGTCCTTCCAAGAAGCTTCAATGTCACAATTATTGTAAAAAAAAATCAAATGTTCCTAAACCCCCATGCTACAGAAAGTTTGATCATTTTGTAAACGACCTTATGCTAACGTGACTGTGATCTTTGTGATAACTATGATATGAAAAAGGAAGCAAAATAGCCAAGAATTAATGAGATCATAACCAGGTTACATCATTTACAGCCCAAGTAGTTTTGACACGCAGCCAAACCTTCTTTCATTATTCTTTAATGTTTCTCCATCTTAGACAACTTCAAAACCACTGCTTACCCATATTCTCTTGGGTAATCAGTGGTTTTATGAAAACCAATGGCTTTCCAGCAATCCTATTGCTCCGTGGCTTTATGAAGTGACCTAATTATAACCACAGATTGACGAACAGAATTGTCAGAAGACCTTTGAAAACCTTTAATCTTATCGCAGTTGTCAGAGTTGCCTGAGTGTTTCATTCATTCATTATAAATGCTTTATATAGACAGTATCTGAGGTGTGTGTGTGTACTGCATGTTTCAGTAGAGGCTATTAATTTATGTAGTTTCTGCCTTTTTCAAATGATTAGAGTCCTGTGTTGCAGCTGGATTCCTTCATTAACCAAATGATGCCTAATGTGCGGGCTCACTGTGTGCATTTTCATCTGCATGTTGCTTTTTATGTTTTCAAAGCTTATAGAGGAAAGAGAAATGAGGATTGGGTGTGTGAAGATATAAGTTGCTATGATAGTATGAATTCTTCTTTAACACAAAATTTATTTAAAATTTTTTATGTATAATGCGGTTCACTTCAATGTCTCATAGCTTCTTCTCAATCTATGTGTGTGCTGACTATGTCATAAAAACCACTGTAAATGAAATCAGTATATCTAGTTACCCAACTCAACGTCAGCATTTTTAAGAATGGCGAACACAGAGTGAGAAATGTGTTTTAATGCCAGCATTTATTGCCCGGTTTAATTTCAGTTAAATTGAGCTGCCATGAGAAGTGTGATTTGTGATATTATAAATGGATCAACAGGAACATTATAGTGCATTTAATGGTAAGATGAAAATTTAAGGAAAAACAACAAAATAGCCAAATAAAATGAAACTAGTTATTTTTTGAATGTTTGAATAGCTAACTGTTTGATATTATGCTATTTAAACTACAGTATGACATTTTTAAGAAAGATTATTGTGTATGTAGTTATGCAAAGAAGAGAGCACAACCCATGATTCATTGCATGACCCAGTTTGGGCTGCTGAACTGATGGCCTCACATCACTGTGCTTGACTCTAGAATACTTGTACATAGAGGAATATATGGTCGATAGTGTGCCCAGGTCCTGTGGCTGCAAAAAACACAGTGCTTGACAGTTGAAATGAGGTGTTTGCGTCAATATGCTGTGTTTGTTTTTCACCGTAGATGGCACTATGGTCAGTTTCCACTTTGGTGTCATCTGTTTAAAGGACATTGTTCCAGAAGTCTTGTAGTTTGTTCAGAAACTTTGAAACCTGAAGCTGTGCTGCCATATAGAAAGAAGGGACTTTCTCCTAGTTATCCTTCCAAGCCACCTATACTTGTTCATTCTTTTCCTATTTGTCATATTTAACACAGTAACTGAGGCTTGTAGTGTGTGTGATGTAGCTCTTGGTTTTTTGCAGTTTCTCTGAGTACTGCATGGTCTGACCCTGGGATGAGTTTGCTGGGCTGTCCACACATAAGTTTGTGTTAAATGGACTGGTTTTTATACAGCGCTTTTTTAGCCTACCTGAACACAACTTTATACGACTTGGCTCATTCACCCGTTCATACAGTTTTCCACGTAAGTGCTTTCTATCTAACATTCACACATATTTCTACGTTGACAGATGCATCAGAGAGCAGCTTGGGGTCAGTATCTCGTCCAAGGGTGCAGGCTGGAAAAACCACTAACCTTCCAATTAGTAGATGACACGCTCTACCTGCTAAACCACAGCCACACCAAACACACCTGAGATACCTAAAACACCTGAAGGCTCCAGACCAGCAAACTACCAAAACCTCTGTTTTATAGATGAGCTCACACTTGTTAACAATAGATTAATCAAGTACATTAACGGCATCTGGCTGCTACTTATTTGATCCTCATTCCTGTGTCACTGGCCTGGTCTTTTTCCCTATCTAAGAAATTCAAAAAATAACTTTTGAAGATGTTGAAGAACATTAATACTCTCCTCAGTCCTTCTCAGATTTAAATATTCTTCCCTGATCCAAAGAAAGGACTAAAGTAGCAGTTATGACAAACTCAAGCCGCTTTTAAAGTGTTTTTCAGAGGTATCAAACGCACATGGGCATGCATGGGGGAAGTTGTGAAGTTAGTCATTAGAGCCAGTGGTGAAGTGAAGATTTGTCTCCCCATAGCTAAAGATACGTGTTGCTCTTGCTTTTACCTTTTCAGGTCATCTTGTGACACAGTGAGGTTTGATCACTCCCGAATTTTGATTTACAGAGATTATATGTTTCAATTTTTCACATTTGACTACTGTGAATTAACCAGTTGCTGTGGAGTAGAATAAACTTTAAAACAAAGCAGAATTAGCAGACTAAAAGAGTATAAGGTGGCACAAATTCATGGAATAAATTGAATGGCTTTGTGCGAAATAGGAACAAAATGTGAATAATAGAATAAATCTGGGTACAAAGCAACTGCAAACACCTGAAAATGATAAAACAGTCATTTTAATGTTTAATACGTCTGCAACAGTATTTATTGCTATAATATTAGAGGGTCTTTGTGTCTGTTTGTGACATAACATCCAGCTTATGGTGATTTGTAGCTGATTGAAAGATCAAAAACATACGTGTGTGTGAATACTTTTGTTGAACTACGTTTTGTTGTCAGCTGATAACTGAGATTTGGTTTCCTCCCCAGGTATTACGGTCCTGCTCTCTCTGACTGTCTTTATGCTGCTAGTTGCAGAGATTATGCCTGCCACATCAGACTCTGTGCCTTTAATAGGTAAGCCAGGCCAAAGTTAAAAGCAGTTCCTATGGATGTCAACTACTATCAGAGAGAAGCAAAGGGTGAAATTTTCTGTAGTCATTTTTCATCAGGGATTTCCTTATATCACAGTGTAGCTAAATTCAAGCAGCTACCCAGTATTTAGATTTCGTTTTGGTTTAGGGATCTGAGTCAGTCTGTTTGAATCAGTGGAATGAAAGCACTTCTTCAGGCACATAAGTGAGCAGTAATGCTCAAGGGATGAAGACATATTTGCTGTCCTTAATGATCGGCCCGGCCTTTCTTCTTGTATGCATAACCTTGATGTTATCATCTAGTTTTCTCATTGTTTTTTTACTACACAGTACTTCTTTCTGATCCATTCTGATTGCCGCCTGCATTTCTTTTTTATGCAGCTGAATATTTTGCCACTACAATGGTCATTGTCGGTCTCTCAGTGATTGCTACAGTTCTGGTCCTGCAATATCATCACCACGACCCTGATGGAGGCAAGATGCCAAAATGGGTGAGTGTTTTCTCAAACAATAATAGCTTTTTCGTGAATTTTACTGGCATTATTATTTATGTAGTTTCATTATAGACACACGCAAAAATATGGAATACATTAAAATCAAACTGTTGACAAACCTAAATAAAATGCACATTTTTAAGTAATGAATTGAAAAACAAATGCTAGATATAGCAAATATGACACTGATTAAACATATATATGCGAATTCATAAGGGTTAAAACTATATCAAATATAATATATGTAACAAATATAACATAAGTGTATGTAATGTATATATGTATGCAGCAATTATTTTGAAAGATATTTCAGAAACCTGGGAAAGGGGAACAGAATAATCTCTAACAGTTCAAAACTAAGGTTACTAAGAAACAGATTAGTAACATAATTGGATACAAATTCACAGTAATCATCTATAAAGGCCATGCTAGTGCTGAACAATATATAAATTCCACATATGCTGCCATCCAGATGACTTTATTCAGCAATCTACAATAACCTGCTTGCACTCAGGATTTGTCACATGGTGAAAATATTGCATTATCTGCACTATGAAATGAAAAATGTGAAAAATAAAGCCCAGAGAAGTTCACCTAGAATCTTATATGAAGCAAGAATAGGAAAACATTTAGCTCTCAAAACTGCACTAATGGGCTCCTCAGTTCTCAAGCGCTTCAAAGAACAGGTGATGCAACACGGTGGTAAACAGTGAATCCACATTTAAAAACTTGTTGCTTGTATGGGCAGAGTTTTCAAAAGAAACTACAATTTTTCATTTTTAACATTTGATAAGTTATCTTTGTACTATTGTCAAAATACATATAGGGTTTAGATGATTTCCAAATTGTTGCATCATCCTGTTTTATTTACATTTCATTCAGTTTCCCAATTTATTTGGAGCAACTGGTAATAACCTAATGAAAAGGTATGGAGCCAAAGAATGCAACAACACAAAGTGGAGTGAACACCTGCATGTTTTATATACTCACTGGACAGTTCATTAGGTATGTACGTTTTGAAGATGAAAAGGGGGTCCAACCCAGTACTAGCAATGTGTGGCTAATAAAGTGGCCAGTGAGTGTGTACTCAGTCCACTTTTTAATGTGATTTGTCAATTTGGGAAAATTTAATATGACAAAATGGCCTGTATTTGTATAGCGCTTTACTAGTCCCTAAGGACCCCAAAGCGCTTTACACAACCAGTCATCCACCCATTCACACACTGGTGATGGTAAGCTACATTGTAGCCACAGCTGCCCTGGGGCGCACTGACAGAGGCGAGGCTGCCGGACACTGATATTCTGCACTCATTCTTATTTCTTCAATGGCAGATTTAAAGTGAATTACAGCCTTAATCCACTCTTTCATTCACCGTTTTATCTCAAAGACCCGTGTGATCCTCCTGCATTGGTGTGCCTGGTTCCTGCGTATGAGGCGTCCGGGTGAGGAGCGAGTGCGTTCAGCCTGTCACAACAAGCCTCGACGGAGCAGCCTGACCAGCATAGACCTCAACATGAGCACCTCAGCCTCCCAATGCACCAATGGCAACATGCTCTATGTCGGCGTGCGTGGCCTGGAGAGCATTCACTGCTCCACTGCTGCCACCTCGTCTGACTCCGGGGTCCTCTGCGGACGTCTGGTTGGACGGGCAGGCGAGGACGAGATGCTCATCCCAGCAGGTCAGGTCACCCCAGTTGGAAGCCTAGAATTAGAGATGGCCAAGATCCTGGATGAGGTGCGCTACATCGCGAAAAGGTTCCGCGACCAAGACGAGGGTGAGTCTGTGTGCAACGAGTGGAAATTCGCCGCCTCCGTTATCGACAGGCTTTGTCTCATGGCTTTCTCACTCTTCACTATCCTCTGCACTATTGGTATCCTCATGTCAGCACCCAACTTTGTAGAGGCAATTTCCAAAGACTTTTTCACTTAGTTGTTCCCAGGAAATAAATGATTCATCAAATATTAAAGCCTACACCAATCACTGTTCTCACAAAGTAACCATTTTCAAACACACGGGGTAGTCATTTGGATACACTTACCCATACTTAATCCAAAGTTAAATGTAGAATGTATGTGATACATAAACAGCTGAATATATGCATCACATTACATTATTGAAAACTAGCTTTTCTCTTTTCTATCACACAGCCTGGCTTCACACCCTGATCCTGTTGTACTGTATGATTCTCTAAACTGCATAGTATTGCTTCAATGATACAATTTGCTAACCTGGCAAGAATGCTGTTATTAGTTATGCTGTGTTACCTGTGTATTACTGTGCATTATAATGTTTCTGTAATGTGTAATGTGGTCCATATACATAACGGCTACTGTACCTTCTATTCAAATGTATTTCATGTAGCACATTTCTATATCATACATTACGTTGTATTACAATCATAAGTAGAACCAAAAGCCTTGATTTAAATGTCTTCTTACTTGGTTTTACTTACTGTTTATATTTGTATGATTTGATCACTAAGAATTTCTCATCGTTCAAAATGTTGTATGTTTCATTTTTTATCAGTTACTTTCAATGGGTTGATTCTTGTCCACTTTGAAGATTCATAAATAAATTCATTCAATTCAAAAACAATCCCTTGTCAATGACAGATGCTCACATGGGACAACGGGAATAATGTCCTTTTTTTACACTTTTTCAGTGTTTTTTTAAAAACCAAACACGTAAAGCAAATGTGGAGCTGTTTATGAAGCAAGAGTTTAACCTTCTGAAAACTAGACAGAGGTTCTAGCAGTAGGATAGTACGTGTCATCTTAAACCCCAGAGTTAGTTTTTCACACGTCACAGCCAACAAACTCAAATGCACTACTCTCAATGAAGACGTTTTCTTGCAGTGAGGTCCGAGGCCTGGTGAAACAGGTGAGTCCACTTTTTTCAGTAGGATTCTCTCCAAAAGATCTCCCCAGTTTTCCACACTGGAGTTTCTGCACAAAGGAGAAGCTGGTGAATAGAGAGAACAGGAAGCAAACGCTAGACTTCACTGATTCAATGAATCAGGCAAAGACTGAAGGAATTCCTCCATCCTAAGTAGCAGCTGGTCACAGGTGATTACAAACAGGTGAGATGATTACCTCCTTGTGGTAATTATGCTCATATTTTCACCAGAAAGAATTTTAGTTTCTGCCTAATACCACTGAGCTTTCACACATCACTTGTTAATTCACAGATTTCATCCTTATGTCCATCAGTTCAGTGGAAAAAA